CCCCCTCCCCTTTCTCCACCTTCCCAGCGACGAGCGGCGGGACGGGGAGCAAAATCGCCCAAAGTCACCCCCTCCCTCTTATAGGAAAGCGGCCTGGATCCGTCTATGTCCCTCAGCTACACAAACATTTTACCCCTCTTAAGATACCAAACGATTTTTATCCTGAAATCAAAGTCAAAACTCCCTCCGTATCCACTATGACACAGTGGAAGTGGAAGTACGTGCCAATAACAACCACGCACTGGTAAAACTGTTGATACTAGTTTCCCAAAGTTGTTTAGAAGTCTCAAGATGACCGCAGTTTTGACTATATCTTTTGATCATCTGCTAAGGCATGCACAGTGGATGTCAATGCTTCATTTAGATGTTCACCGACTATACAAATCAATCTCTTTGAACACTGCTGTTTCACGTATTTTTGAAACATTGTCGATATTAAATAAAAAAAGGAAAATTTACCGCCGAACTTACTTATACAGCTCAGGGATGAAACGCAGACAGGCTACCAAGTCACTGCACATAAAGGCTTGCTTATCTGTGAGTTCTAAATGGCACTTCCAGTTTTTAATAAATTGTCAAAATTCGATTACATTCCTCTTCTCGATGGGCCAGTAACGCCAAACAAACTGCATATGTTAACATATAGAGGGTTTCAGGCCTCCGTCCTCTTCCAGTCTCCTTGCCAAATATATTCACTGTTTGTATTTTTAAAATTTCTACAATACTTACTTAGTTGCTAGCCGAACAAGACAACGTTCACGCTCTCGATCCCTTGCTGCATCTGGTAAAGTTAATGCCATTCGGTCACGTTCACGTTTGACCACAGTCTGAGCTCTCAGCTCACGTTTTGTCCGTTTTCGTTTTTTCTAAAAATTCAAAAAAGAATCATCTTCACTCAGTAGTATTACTGGATGAAATTAATATTATTTGGCATTTTCCGTGCGACAAACTCCATAGCACAGACACTCCTGCTGAATTCGACATGCCATAATCTCTGGCACTATTCTCCGGCCTATGCTAATTAGGTTTCCTCTCGATCTTCGATTGAAGGCAGACGTGAAGGGAAGTTTTGAGTGAGATTAGAACGGTTTTCTTGGGCACCCATCCACAACGAAATACCCAAAAAAGACACAGAAGGAGGAGGAACTAAGTTTCTTCACAAGGGCAGCAGGAGAGGAGGAAGGGGGTAGGAGAGTAAAGGGACACAAGAAGGTCTCGGTACCCTCGGAATAATACAGGGACAACAAAGAAATAGTAGAATGGAAGGATTGGTCTTAAGTGTCATGTGCCGGAGGATATTTTATGGTGTAGTTAGCCTGTGTTTCATCCCTTAGCTTTAAACACAGATCGAGCAATGCAAGCGAGTAGGAGCGAGAATCATCAGTACAGCCTCCTATCAGTCATGTTCTGAACAGTCACGTGGCTATTTCGCAAGACTGATTGCGAAAGAACGAGAAATCAGAGAGAGGTAGAGCAAACAGAGTGAGAGAGGAGAGAAGGAAGAGGAAGTTAATCCATGATACGGACAATAAACCCTCGTATTTACGTCCTTAAAAAGAGTTACATTCTAATTCTAGTTCAAAATATTCCCATGGCTCAAAACATTTTATGACTGTGTATCAAGCATAAACAATCTGTCTCAAATGTTGCTGCTCCTAGATGAGGTAAGTTTGCCTAGATGTAATCCCTCTCAGGATAAGGTATCTTGTCAACTGGAGAATTTTATGATTATTCGAAAAAAACCTAAGACGTTATGTTTCCATTTCAACCCGATTCTGGGCACTTTAGCTTCAACCTAATTCTGAAATTTTGGACAAAAATTTCCTAACGCAATTTCCCCCGTAGAAAAAGGGTGTTACGAAGCAGCTTGTAAAAAATATTCCTACCTAATTTTTCTGAAAATTCCGACAAAAATTCCCTAGCGCAATTTCCCCCATAATCAAAGACAAAGCAAAAATGTAAGAAATATTCCCACAGATGGCAAACGTTTAGCAAATCCCTCCGAAGAGATAAAGCAAAAATTCGGAAAACGAACGAAGATAAACAATCAGATAATATCAATTTTAAACAAAGTAAAAACGTGAAAAAGCTCTAGATAATGGCACAGTGGTGTACTGTGATGAAACCAATGAAAGATCGTTGTAAAAAAAAAAGAAAAAAAAAACAGTTTTTAACCAAAAAATGTAAACTTTTTGTCGTTTTCCAGCGCGTTTTTTTTCTTCGTCATCAAACGATACGGTATTCTGAACTACTTCGTTTTTCTGTCGCATTGCGGGACCTAAAAAATGCAGTTTTTTTAAAAATTTGTAACAATTTTTCTTTTTGACATGCTTCTGAGATGCAATATGCAGCTTAATAGCAGTTAAAGACTGAGTTATTGCAAACTGTGCTGGGACTGTGTTTTCAGCTATGGAGCTGTTTCAATACACCACACACACATACACATACACAAACACATATACAAACACATATACACAAACACATACAAACACACACACACAAATACATATACACATAAACACATGTACATACAAACAGGCATAAAAATACACACAGACAGACACAAACATGCGTACACACAAATATAAACTGAGCAAACGTACATGCAAAAGCATACATACATATATACATACAAACATACATACATACATACATACATACATACATACATACATAACAAACATACATACATACATACATACATACATACATACATACATACATACATACATACATACATATATATACATACATACATACATACATACATACATACATACATACATACATACATACATACATACATACATATACACATACATACATACATACATACACACGCATACACACACACAAAGCCTACCTATAGTTTTTTCTTGTCATTATTTAAGCAAAAACACAAAAAAAAACCAAACATCTTCTGGACCCCGCAGTAAAATTCCAGCAAAGCTGACGAATAAAATACAAGAAAAAGCCAAACAATTTTTGAAATCAAACAAAAACAAGTATTAACCCCCCCTCCCCTTCCTTGCTCCTTCTCCCTGCCCCTCCCCCTTCCCCCAAAGGAAAAAAATAAGAACACAGGAAGTATGAAAGCGGTACCTGCAGTTTCTTCATCGGATAAGTCTGAACCAGCAGAATCACTTCCTTCGGACGTCGAGCATATTTCCTTGACGTCCAGCACATCCATTTCACGTCCAATTCACCCTGGAATGAAAGAATTGCTGCATAACAATCTTATCCTCGCAAAGACAAAGAAACAGACATTTTTCAAACCCAGTGTTTTTGCACCACATTAACAGCCCCACTATCTTTCCCATCATAATCTAATAAGTAATCTCATCCAACATTTAAATTTATGGATTACGGCCGTCCCATATTTTCCACAGTTCAGACTGGCCGTTTACTTCAGAAATCATGGTTCGGCCCGCCAAGGGCCACAAATTTCATGGAGATTTTTTAATTTTCTAATAAATAAAGCATTCACTAATTGCTATATTACTATGCAATATAGCGGATGAGGAGAGAGAGGCGGCAAGAAAGTGGAGATAAAATTACGGGGAAAAGATACGGATGCGGCTGGGAAGGATGGAAGGCTACGGGTGCGGCGGGGAAGGAATGAGGGACAGCCAAGGGAAGGGTGGGGAAGAGGGGTGCAGCTAACAGGGCGGGCCAGAACTGGTCCTAGCGACAGCGGAGGGGCGGAGCGGAAGCGCTACAGCGCGAAAGGGTGGGCGGTCTATACTAGTAACGAGCAGCGTCTTATACAGGTAACGAGCAACATCTCATACAGGTAACTAGCCCATCTGGAATGTGTAAATGTGACCCGCCACCAGGTACAGGTGAGGGCATATTACCCGTAATCTGATGTTTTCGTGTATTTATCAATTTAACCCGCTCTGGCCGCTCCACTTGGATCGTCCACTTATGATTCCGCTTTCTAGTGGTCGTTACTTATCATTCTAGTAGCACTGTTCCCTTCAATTTCAGTTCCGATTTGCCATGAAGCGAAAAAAAAGAGTTAGCGGTGATTCAAAGGGGCAGGGGAGCAGCTGGGGCAATGGTTAATTGGAGAGTGCAGCTACAGGGAGTTGTTGGAGAGGAGCTGAGATGTTGCTTTGGAGGTAAAAACTGGAGAAAAAAGAGGGGGGAGGGGGTAAACCCCGCGACGGTAAACGGGTTTTACATGCTCAATAAGAAAAAAGCTGATAAACAGACTGCAACAAACAGGTTGGCCCTGGAGGCCTAAATGGCGAAGGGTGCGATAGAATACAGAAAGAAAGAACAGTGTGAGAAAAGGAGGTAACAGTGAGGTGAGACTTCCCGGTCTATCAAGTCATATACGTCTTAGCTCAACACCGCGACAAAAAACCCGCACATAACATTTAAAATCCTGACTAGGCAAAAAATTTTGTATTTATACCCGTGGAGTTTCGCACTTCGCACCTGAACCTATAAAACACGTGTATTTTAAATGGCCGAGCCGTCGGGTTTTAGTGGTTGCTAACAACACTGCTAATATGCGTGTCATATTTCGTGGCTGGCCGGTATTTCCTTGATGTGTATATGTGTGTGGGTGGGTGTGTGAGGGTGTGTGTGTGTGGGCGTGTGCGGGTGGAGTTTCGTGGCGGTAATTGCGATTGTTTGTATCTCTAAAATTTCTACAACAATTAGGTAAAAAATTAGCCAACGCACGGGCTACCCGTGTGAAGATGCGTTTTTTGCATGGTTCCCCGCAGCTATTATTGCTACCGGTACCGGTTTTTTCGGCAAATGCTTCTAGGTAAACAAATTAAGACAGGCCACCAGAACTGTCAAGAAACATCGCCTTAAAATTTCAGCTTTCTAGCTCCCGTTGCCCCTGAATTAGCAACTTACTGGAACAAAATTTCCACGGGTCCGTGCATTTTTACCAAGCATACCTGAGAGCTGGGTTCGAGCTGAATGAAACTTAGGTGGACGGGGTATGTCCTCTTAAAATTACATTCCTTTAGCTTCTCAGGTAATTGAGTTAACAATTTACACGAAAAAAATTTTGGCGGGCTCGTACGCGGCTACCACGCTTACCCGGGGGCTGGATTTGAGCCCACTAATACCGGGTTGGGCGGGGAACATTACCCCAAGATTTCAGCCTTCTAGCTTCTCAGATCCTCGAGTTATGAAC